AAATTGAAAATCTACATCTACATGCTCAAATCGAAACCGTCGACTGTCGAGTCTGGCTTCCCCTCTCAACTGTCCATCGAAGCTACGAATGAACATGTCATTAGTTGTATTTATATAGTGTTGCTATAAATGTTAAAAAAAATTAATTATGGCACGAAACCGAACCGAACCGAACGGAACGGTTCCATAATTATATTTGGACTCGACGGTTCCATTTATTAAATACCCAAAAATTTTGGTTCAGTTCGGTTCTAAAGAGAACCGAACCGGATCAGACCATGTCCAGTCATACCACCATACAACCCTTTTTACTGCTTTCGATATGTTATCGGCTAAACTTTCTCGTCGGACATCTCTATCATCGTATTCTGCTAGCTCTGGGAAACACCATTTTCACTAACTCCGCCTCATCATAAAGCCACACAATCACAACCAATATCGTTGCTTCCACACTTACCGTTCCAGCATCTACAATCCTTCCACCGGCGCTACCTTCAGCTATCTCCACTAGCGTCTACAACATCCACCGCATGCTATACCACTTGTAGTCAGCACTACCCATTATCGTCGGCATCCTGCTAATCATTTTCTACTTGGTCGCCATCAACAACCTATACACATAGAAAACCTAACCTTCCATGATTAGGTCGTGACATAACCAGCAGCTTCAGTCATTTTTGCAAATGACCCAACAAGAATTTCTTTGGCAGCTTGTTTTCAGTTCAACTGATCCACTTGTTGTCAAATTTTTGAATCAATTGGACCTCAGATCTATTGTGTACAAGGAGCTTGAGTTGAATCTCGTGAAATGCAAAGACATAAGTTATTGAAAAGGACAAGGAGAGACATTTGACAGGCAATTTAAGCAACAGCTTTGGAACTGGAGTCCAGGGTGCAATACTAGTAGGTCAATTTACACCTTATTAGGTATACTAATTTTGTTATTTGATAACTTTACTTTCTTTTTTAGTGTTCATGGCTCATCATATTCCAAATCATAAATAAAAATAAATAAATAAATGACATATAATCCACGAACAATGCATATAACAACTCTTACACCTCCAACACGTCCTTAAGCCACTATCACGATCATGTACCCTCCCTATCCACTTATCAACACTATTATCATCTATCTAGGACCTTTAGTGGGGAAAAGGCAAGTCGCACTCCAACTATGGGACTTTGATGGTCTCATTGGACCTGACTCATTTCTTAATTGGCTCGATTCTCTTGAAAAAATCTGACTTTCATAACTTAAATGATTCGCGTCGTCTTTATCATGCTAATATGGCACTTGTCAAATCTATTAGGTGTTATTGGAATTCCTTCTAGCATAACTTTGATATCCTAGGTCAACGTCCTATCACTTTGTGGGATGAAATAAATTAAATATTAAGTAATAAATATGCTGATGTGTACTATCGATCTCAATTGCTAGACCAATTCTTTTTAAACTGTAAACAAGATACATACATTGTTTGGCAATATCTAGCACATTTCGAAGAGTTACTGCACAATTGTGATTTGTATGAAGCTCATCTCTTAACAACTTCTAGGTTTATCAAGGGTTTGAATCTTGAAATCATACGTCATGACATTCCTACACCCCGATCCTTGGATGAAACTTACCAATGGGCCAACTTATGGGGACATATCTTTCCATCTTCGTCAAACCTATCATAAGCTAGGTATATCACCCCAATCTAAATAGTCACCTCCCGAGTCTATTTGTGTTGCTCTTGAAGAAGAAATCGAGGTTTCTATTGTTGAATCAATTGAATATTCTAATACCGAGGATAAAGAATTATCTATATTGTTGCCACCTAAGTCAATCAGTACACCTATCCTCGATTATGTGCCGAAGTTGACCTTGCCTAATCCATTGTATGACTCTAACATTGACTTTGATATGGGTTTATCTCCATTGTGTGATGCTTCTCGGGTTACCACGTTGTCCAATGTCATTGTTCGTTCAAATACTTTTCACACACATGTAGCGAAAAAAATTGGATAATTCACTTGAACTCAATCTAGTTAACTGGCCATTGCACTTAAGTGAAGGCTTTGTTTTCAATATAGCAAAATTGTTTCCTTATCGGGGTACATTTGGGCCACCATTTGCATGCTAGTCTATTGTGCTAGTACGTTGTGCTCCTCGTGTGGTTTCGGTGATTGTTTTTGTGAATGAGATGCACATGTTGTTGCTCACTGGGTTTCCTCATTGATATTTGGTTAAAAAGAAGGATCGTCCTCCTTGTTAAAATATTAGAAGAGATTTTATTATATTTAGTTTACAGTTTTAAAACATATTTTAGGAAATATTATTTTAGGGCTGATTTACTAGCTTTTATTAGATATTTCCTTCTTCGAATAGAATTTTGAAGACTCATATAAATGGGGTCTTTTGCACTGTAATAAAACAACTTTTGAATGAATGAATAATTAATATTTTTATCCTATTTCTCTTTTCCCCCTCCTTTCTTTTCTTCTCTTCCCTTTCCTCTTCTCCTATAATTATCCTCTTGCACCTTGCATCATTTATGCAAGTTATCGGAAAACAATATGAGAACTCAAACACCTACCACAGTTGGCTTTGCTGGAGACTCATTTGATTCATTATACACATCAAGATGCTCAGTTTTCGCAGATTCTTGTGCCTCTCAATCTCTTTCGAGGCAACTAACCATCTTCTTAGTAGCTGAACTCTTTCTGCCTCTCTGCACGAAACATAAACTTCTTCTAATCTTTTCACCACAAGCTTAAAGTTTTGGAAATTCCGAGCCGCCTATAATGCCATGCAATCAAAGACAATATATATCGTTATAACACCTTTAAATATTTTGTGAAATATAGAACGCTGAGATTATGATTGTTTGAATTACAATGCGGTTTTGCAATAACTTGGTGCCACCGGCTACGGCTTGGCCAGCCTGTTGGATGACGGTGTCTTGTCGGCGTAAATTCGGAAAGTGCGAGTGAGATTACTACTGCCACCTTTTCCAACCGCTTTGTTAACCGCCGATCGAAGCTACAACATTTCCAAAATCTATATGCACTGATTTGTATATTGCTAGACAGTATCTAGATGTGGGAAAAAAATAAAAGAACGAATAAACTGAACATACATATGGAAAGAGGTAGCCAAGAAGACCTAGGGGAGGGGAGCTCGAGTCTTGTGCCTTTCGTTTCGCGCTCAACGGTCCTGCAAATTCCAACGAATACCCTTGGCTGCAATGAGTATCAAACGCACGTGTTGTAGATAATCCTCATACACGTTCGATAGAAAGTATAATGAGAGCATGTCTGGTAAGGCTTCTATTTCTTTTAGAAAAGTTCCCTAAGAATGCTATACAAAAGGTCCGTTCGGCATAGTTTTTGAAAATTCAAAATGAACTTTTTGGACCCAAAAGCAGCTTTTGAACCCATTTGCCTAATTTTATGAAAGTGTTTTTGCCAGTTAGAAATTTTTTTAGAGGAAACTGGTTCAATGTGATGTCTTTTCAAAAATTAGTTTTCAAACAAAAATTAAAATAAATTCTCCAAAAACTCTTTTACAGAAAACAAAAATCATGTCAAATGGACCATAAGTCACTTATTCTAAAAGCTCTTCTAGACAGACTAAGCACTTCTAGAAAATTATTCAATCATATTCAAAAGTAACTTCTTAATTTCAGGAGCAACTTTTGACTTTTCAAAAACACCGCCGAACGACCCTTTAAGAAAAAAAATGAAGCTAAAATCATATTCATTACATTCTCATTGTACTTCGAAGGAAATACAGGAAGAAAAAGGCATCCAAATGAAGGGCAACAAAAGACAGGTAAATGAGGGAAGTAAAGAATTAAAAAAAGCAATCTGATTAATTCATACAACATCCTAGGTCTACAATTACAGTGAGTTTTTCTATACTTGAACAATGGGCATGCTATCACCTATTCTTCCAACAAAACTGGAGGGATTAAAGAAATAAAATGTCTATAATCTCTAGCCAATGAAGCTCCAGTGTACAGATGAAAGCAAATCACTACAAGTCATCAATGGAAGGCAAGGGCGGTTTCCAGTAATTCCATGTGTTATAATCTTCCTGAACAAGCGATACAAGGAATGTTATTACATGCTGAAAGCTGGAAAAAATATAAGCTACTTTTTACAATGTTTGACGGTCTGTTGCATTAGTACCTGCTCAACCAGTGATGGTGGAAACATGTCGTTTACTAGTGTGTGAAGTGAAGTATATGACTTTACGTCAATACGATTATTAATGGCTACCTCTCCCTGCAAGTATAAAAACATTTATGGTTGAACGAGAAATAAATGTAAACTAGCAGTGCAGTGCGATTTTCCAGTGAAACATGTAGTGAATTCTAACTACCTTGGGGTTAATAATAAAGATCTTTCCCTCTGGGATCCCAATTTTCTGGTAACTGAGTTTATCAGTGTCTCGATTTCCAAAACCCGCATAAAATGGATTATATTCAGGAGGAAAAAGTGCTTTGATACCCTGCAAAAGAGGTGCTTATACACTTCAAAGAATCAACATATACGGCAGGATAGTACACAAAGCTTGAATCCATTCTATAACATTTACCTCTAAACAGGCAATCTTGAATTCATGAGGAGCCCTTCTTATTACTGCCATCAATTAAAATATTTCCATCAGAAACACCAAAAATGAACCAATATATCCCACTTGTGAAAAAAATGTGTGTTGCCACATGCAAACAAATTTCGACGATGTGCATCAAGCAGTCAGCAGACGAGGAAGAAGGCATCCTAACAGCTCTTTCTAAATCCAAGTTAACTTGTCATTTATTCATATGTGTTGGAGTATTGCATCACACATTGACAGCATGGAATTAAAAAGAAAAGAAGAGGAGTCGAAAATGGAAGAAAAGCCTGCTGGGAAGAGGAGTTAGTTATTTCTGTAATTTTGTTATTTCAGTTCAATTCATTCTGCTACTAAGCTATAGTACAAATATAGCTCAGGTTTGGTGTAAACAATTCTTTCAGTTCAGTTCATCAATAAATGTGAATTTCATTTTCAAGTTTCAATTGTCTTCTACCTTGATCAAGAATCGATCTGATTCTCAACATGGTATCAGAGCTTATAATTCATCAAATTAACGCTTCTGCAACATCATCTGCTGGAATCAGTGTTGTATAAAATCAATCTCTCTTTGCAAATTCTGCTCTGGAATTTTCTTCACTGATTTCTTGAAACGAGTTCTATAATTCACGTGTCAACCCTTCTATCAATTCTAATTGTTTTTCTATCAATCCCTCGGATGATTCCTCGAGTCCATATTACCTCCACCTAAGTGATAATCCCGGTGCCTTATTAGTATCAGAAATTTTTTATGGAGAGAACTGTGTTGCCTGAAGTCGATCAATCATCATGGCTTTGACAGTTAAGAACAAGGTAAAATTCATCAATGGCTCTATTACTCCTCCTTCTACTAATCAGATCATTATTCATACAGCATGGTTACATGCGAACAATCTAGTTCTTTCTTGGTTGATGAATTCAATTTCTAAAGAAATACGAAACAGCTTAATATTTGTGACATCTGCTGTTGATATCTGGAATGAACTCAAAACAAGATATCTCAGGAGTGATGGACCAAGGGTTTTCCATCTTAAGAGCTGTATAAGTTAAGGTCCTTTATCTGTTACTGAGTATTTCAACGCTTTTAAAACTCTTTGGGATGAACACATCAGTTATAGGCCATTTCCAACATGTGCATGGGGAAAGATGGCATCATGTACTTGTGAGTTGTTCAAATATCTACAAGCTCGACAACAATCTGATTATGTCCTCAAGTTTGTGGTTGGGTTAAATGATTCTTTTGCATCTGTCAGAAGCCAATTACTCCTTATGGTTCCATTACCTAGCATGGTCATAATCTTTTCTCTACTACTTCAAGAAGAAAGTCAAAGACAACTCACAAATTCTGTCACATACAATGAGACGCATGCTTTGATGGCCAAGCAACTTAATCAACGGAATTACCGGCCAAAATCATTCAAGGATAAGCCCAAGACATTTGTCTTGCATTGCACTTATTGTGGCTATAATGGACACAGAGTGGACAAATGTTTCCAACTACATGGATATCCTCCTGGCCGGACGAAAAAGGCATGTTTCTGCACATGCTGCCATTACAAATCAAGAGGTCTACAATTAGAATAATAATGAGCAACAAAAGTTTTATTTTTACTCCCAAGGAATTTCACAAATTAATGGCACTTGCTAATCCAACACCATTTGATTCTTCTAACCAAAATAATGTTCAATCAGCTGTTAACCTTGCCTCTGCATCTCATTTTTCTGGTAAAACACAACTTATATCACATTTATCTTATTGTAGTTCTGCCTCTTCTACATTACATTCCAATTTTTTTTTGGATCCTTGACACGGGTGCAATAGATCACACGATCTGATCACCACTTTTTTACTATTCTACACCTAAATCTATCAGTGCATCTATAAATCTTCCCAATTGCATTACCTGCATCACATATTGGTACTGTGTCTCTCCAATACTCTATTCTTCCGTAATGTCTTGTGTGTTCCTACCTTTTCTTTCAATCTATTATCTGTTTCCAAGTTTACGAAACAATCTAATCTTTGTCTTACCTTTACGCTTCTCATTGTACTCTGCAGGACCAATCAATGAAAAATATGATTTGGATTACTTTTAAGAAAGAAGGACTTCACCACTTGATTCAAGCTTCATCAAAGGCTCAAACCTACAATGCATCTCAGTTTAATTCCGCACGTCTGGCTTCAGCCATTATAGGCTAGGACATGTATCCAATTCAAGATTATCCTATCTCAAACAATTTGAACCATCCATCGCTCTTGATTGTACATATGTTTGTGATATATGCCCTATAGCAAAACAAAGGAAGCTTCGTTTCTCTGTATCACAAAATAAATTCAATAAAAGATTTGATTGGATTCATTGTGACATTTGGGGCCCTTTTGGCACTCTTTCATACTCTGGTTTTAAATATTTTCTGACTATAGTAGATTTTACAAAGTGTACATGGGTATACATGATGAAAGTAAACTCAGAAGTGCTATCCTTAATCAAAACTTTTTGCAAAATGGTAGAAAACCAATATTCTGTTTCTATCAAAACCATACAGTTTGATAATGGCCAAGAATTTTTTCTACAAAGTTTTACAACAAACATGGCATTTTATATCAAAGAAGTTATGTAGAAACTCCACAACAAAATGGAGTTGTGGAAAGAAAATGTCAACACCTATTGAGCACAGCTAGAGCACTGATGTTTCAAGCAAATCTGCCCCTAGGTTTTTGGGGTGATTGTGTACTCACTGCAGCACACATGATCAATAGAATTCCTACACCTCTTCTCCAAAACAAAACCCCATTTGAAATGCTTTCTGATAAAGCACCTAATCTTTCACATTTAAAAGTTTTTGGCTGCCTTTGCTTTGCATTTACATCGACAAACCACAGACAAAAAATTGACTTAAGAGAAACTAAATGCATATTCTTAGGGTATCCTTTTGATTTCAAAGGATACAAGCTTATGGATTTAAACACCAACAATATAATTGTTTCTAGAAATGTTACATTTCATGAAACAATTTTTCCTTTCAAAGTTCTTCCATCAAATGCTGAAACACATTCCTTTTTATTCCCTAATTCAGACTCCTTTCCAGATCATTGTTATACCAGTCACACTTGACTTTAGATCAAAATGTGCCATCTACATCATCAACTAATAATCATTCCCCTACTTGTGAACCAGCCACACATATTGAACAAGGCTTACCTACTTCTTCCCCTCAACCAAACACGGATCAAACATCAAAACAAAATACTCAACAACTCAAAAAATCAAGCAGAATTAAACGCACACCAATTCACCTGCAGGATTACTATTGTGGTAATGTCTCTTCATCCCAAATTGCAACTCAGGCATCCACTTCAACTGATTGCTCTTCAACTACAGGTAATCTTTCCCCATCACATAACGTCTTTTTAGCATCTATTCAAACTCCTTAGAACCTAAAACATATAAACAAGTCTCTCAAATGCCTAAATGGCAAGCTGCCATGCAAAATGAAATTAAAGCTTTGGAGTTAAATAAAACTTGGGAGCTTGTTACTCATCCTAAAACCAAAGAGGCCATTGGTTATAAATGGGTGTTTAAAATCAAATACTTAGTCAATTTCTTGCTACACCTGTTGTAAGTCATCAAGCAGCAACTAGAGTGTTGAGATACCTAAAAGCTATAACAGGGCAAGGTCTATTCTTCCCATCGTCATCAGATTTACAGCAAAAGGCTTTTTCAGATAGTGATTGGGCCGACTGTGTAGACACTCGAAGAAATGTCACTGGTTTTGCAATCTTTTTTGGCAACTCATTGATTTCATGGAAATCAAAGAAACAAGTCACCATTAGTCGATCATCAACAGAGGCAGAATATAGAGCACTTGCAACAACTACATGTGAAATTCAATGGCTCCTCTATGCTTTGCAGGACCTGAATATTGATGATTGATCATCCACAACCAACTTTACACAGACAGTAAGTCAGCATTATCCATAGCCACAAATCCAGTCCAACACGAGAGAACAAAGCACATTCAAATTGATTGTCATCTTGTTCAGGAAAAGTTGCTGCAAAATCTTATTAAACTCTTCCACATGTCATCAAGGCTTCAGCTCGCAGATATCTTCATAAAGCCCCTCGGGTCTTTACCTTTTCATCATACTCTTCGCAAGATAAACCTTCTCAACATACAAGTTCATCTTGAGGGGGGTGTTGGAGTATTGCATCATACATTGGCAGCATGGAATTAAAAATAAAAGAAGAGAAGTCGAAAATAGAAGAAAAGCCAGCTGGGAAGAGGAGTTAGTTTTTACTGTTATTCTGTTATTTCAGTTCAATTCATTCTGCTATTGAGTTGTAGTATAAATATAGCTCTCAAGTCTGGTGTAAACAATTCATTCGTTTCTGTTCATCAATAAATGTGAATTTTATCTTCAAGTTTCCATTCTTCTACCTTAATCAAGAATGCATCTGATTCTCAACAATATGACTGCTACAGAAGAGCTCTCAAATGGAAACAAGCTCAAGAATAATGTCATTGGGAAAGTCCTATGGATTCTGATTCTCAACAATATGACTGCTACAGAAGACCTCTCAAATGGAAACAAGCTCAAGAATAATGTCATTGGGAAAGTCCTATATATAGTCTCGTCTCTTCTCCACATGATTTTTCACCATTGACTACAAACTAGTAACTGCCCTTTAAAGTGACGTTCTACCCCAAGATAGAAACAATTGCAGTGAGTAAATATTAGAGACAGATTCTTCATAAGCTTACAAGAGAGCAATGACATTTTTTTACAGGAAATTACAGGCCAACCCATTTCTCGTACAATAAGCCCCAACCTTCAATATACAGCAACTGATTCCCCAAACTTTCAACTTTGTAGCATACGGGTCTCAAATGAATGATTTCCGTCCGTTTGGACATTAAAATGTCATGTGACAATCACGTGACATGTTAATGTCCAATAGATGAAACTATCACATGTTTGGCACGTATGTGCTACATAATTGAAAGGTTGGGACCCAGTTGCTACAAATTGAAGGTTGGGATCCTCCTTGCTCTATTTTAAATAGGGAGCACCCCAACAGTAATTTTACCAATTTTTGGAAATGACAATTGAGCTTCCAGTCTAAGTGATTGACTGCAGTACATAAAATTCATTAAATTCTAATTCCGTGCATTACTTAACACTTCAATGTAGACAGTAAGCAAATGAGTGGTCCTCCAAGGAAAGGAAACTCACCTTCTCGGTACAATGAAGGAACTAAGCCATCTGGGGAAATAACAACAGGTCCGGTGGGTAAGCTTTTGCCATCCTGCAAGCATTTCGAACAAATTTCACTTAATGAAATCACATCCTTCGATCAAATAATAGCATAAAAAGTGGAACTATAGGCTACACTAAAAAAGATGACTTAATAGCATTAACTAGCAGAAACCAATTTTAAAATAATAACTGGCAATTATAAATGCTTAATGAATCACAAAGCGATTAAACAAAATAAAAGAAAACACAGGTTATATAGAAGTTGATTTTAATACATGAAAAGTTACACTCTCGACCGCTTTATTTACACTCTCCTTTTAAAGCTTGAGAAAATACCAAATGTAACTAAACAATCCATTAGCATTCCAGATCAGAGTAAGTATACCTGCTTAAGATTGAATAGAAAATTTTTAGTCAAGTATGATTGAACAATTGCGCGTGCACTCAGAAACAATAACTGATACCCATTCTCCTGCAGAAAAATAATAATAATAATAAAAAAAAATAAAATCATTTTAACTCTCCTGATAAATGCCATGAAGAAATTCCAATAAATATAAAATTGTCATCACAGAAACATCTAATTAAATGAGTACCCCCCCCCCCCCCCCCCCCNTGCCCCCCCCCCCCCCCCCCCCCTCTTTCCTTATGGAGATTCAAGTAATGGAGTACTTAAAGTAGGGAAACGGACCGAGTAACAGATATTCCTAGCTTGGGCAAAACTCGATGTTATATTAATTAATTGAACTGAGATGAACTTAAGGTCAAGGCTTGAGAAACACAAGTATAGTCCCAGTTTATGCATGGGTCATGGACTAATGGACCTTCTACTGTGCCTAGGTTGAGTCTAGTTTATGCGTAAGTATAGGATTCAGAAGTTTGATTTCAACTCTTTGGACTAAATAAACGAAAAACAAATGAATATGAATTCTATTATTTAAATAATTTATGAAACTACTAGCACTTAGAGATGAAGATATAATAGGATATTAGGATTTATATTGTTCTTCATAATGCCACAAAGTTTAGATTGTAGAAAACAATAGTGACATGTACAGTCTAGTTTGGAGGATTTTTACTATATAGACCAGTTAGTTAATGAAAAGCATGTGCAGTCCTATCCATTAACTTCTGCTTTAATTTTCAATTTTCTGTCAGGAACTTATGCCAAAAGTAAAAAAAATTCTCACCTACAAACCAGATTATAACTACTATAGTAATTTGAGTTAAGCATCCAGAACTACATGGGATCATATGCTCCATAAAAGAAGCAATTAATATGTGATAAGTTCCTTATCTTAATATAATATGCACTATAACGTGCCTGTGAAACGCTTCAACATAGTACACATATATGCACCTCGTTGCTTTAGTGGGCTCTATTTTACCAATGTGCAGGCTCGTCTTTTTCAACCTAAGGAATTTCAATCAGTTATTTTCTTTTGAACAGAGATTTTATCTTATTGATTCACCATTATTATGTAGTCATGAGATTTTGGAACCCAATCCATATCAAGCTTCCAAACTTCAAGCACAACCATAATTCTTATACATACCCATATATGAGTGAGTGAATGAGTGTGTGTGTGTGTGTGCGCATTCAGTAGTACAAGATTCTGAGTCTTCTAGAAATAGCAGCTGTGGGATTAAGAGCCCCCCTTTTGGCAGGATTTAAAGCAGATAATTAGAACATTTGATGTGATTACCTTTATTGAACAAAAGAGACGAGCTATTCCAGAATGCGTCCAGTCCTTCCCAACCAAAGGCATAACCTGGCCAAGGACATCTGACCTGAAATATAGTAAATTTGCAGAGTCACAATCGAAAACAAACATTGACAATATGTTCTCACTATATTACCAATGATTTGATTGAAAGCATAAATGACCAAGAACCAGTACACATCTCCCATCACAGCTTATAAGCTTACAGTAGCAAGCTTTAGATAAATGTTCAACTTTAGTTCGCTAATTATACATCCTTAAAGACTAGACCATTCTCCCCACTCTCGCCCCAGAGGGAAGAGTCTAGCAGGTAGTCTAAAGTTACCAGGGAACGCTAAACCCCAAGAAGATTGTTAATTGCTGTTGTTTAAAAATTGTGGCACACTAGCAAGTTGGAAAACACTACATTAAGCAGGATGAATAACTATTTCTGTTGTTTCCCTATCTTTGCAAGGAGAAACTGTTAAAATGGGTTTTGGGTGGGGGGGTTGGAATAAATTATGCAGAACACATCACATAAGTACTGCCTTTAATCCCTCTTTATCTACCATTTGAATTGTGAGAAATCTCAGTAATTAGAAATAACGCTCCATTTATAAATCCTCAAATATGCATGCCGGTTGCCGAGCATACACATTTTCCTAGGTGCAGAATTGCGTTCTCATTCCCTGTTGCAAACTATAGACAATCACATTTTAGTTCACCCATATTCTTTGACAAGCTCACTCGTCTAAACATGGACTTTTTGCTGCTTTGACAGAAAGCATGAATAAATATATATTTGTATTTAGAAACAATATTAATTTCTGGATCTAATGTGAGCCTTATAACTCAAAATAGGTCAGACTTCTCTTCTAGCATCACCAAATTAAAGTGTCAAGTTATTAAGTTCTAGCTGAATGAGGAGTACAGTCCTTTCTTTACATCTATTTGAACAAGATATTGCTAAGCAATATACGTTATTGAGCACATTACTAAATTTAAGAGATTGCTTCTTGTAATATGAGTTAATAAGGACTTGTGAAAGGTATTAAATGGTTGAATTTTTAATTCATTTTTTCCCCACGGAGAATCAGCAAGAGTACTATATTGTAACTAAAAGGCAGCATTTTTAAACAGCATATGTGCTTCTGCATGAGAAGAAATCTAAACAGTTGACGCAAAATATTCCATATGAAGTAAATAAATCTTACTTGGTAATTGTCCCGTCGACATCAGAAATTACAATCCGTGTATTCCACTTCCACAAATATATATGAGCCTCAACCTGTCAAGAAAGTGCGACTCAGTAACAAAAGAAGATATCTAGTCCAACTACCTATCTAAGTTAAAAGCACAAACATTAATCAAGGAACAAATAATAGACCTTCTGGTATCCAAGGACTCTTGAAGAGAATATAAAATTAACCATATTCTGCCCCTCTTTGAGATTCAAAGATGCTATTTGATCAGTAGTAGGGACATTAGTTCTTGTAAGTTTCTTACGCGGAGACTCACTGGCACTAAGTGGTGTGGATGTTAGATCTACAGGTTGGCTCCTTGAGATGGATTCAGAATCTACAAAGATCTCCTCTTTTATTGAATTACTACCAGAACGATCACGCATCTTAACCTTCCTAAATGGGTTTGGCCAGCTCCATCTGCGTCCAGAAGGAGTAGAAGCCAATCCAGAATCATCTTCCTTCATTTCTTGTGTTCCCTGTTCCACAGGAATTGCATCGTCTGGCTGAACAGGTAATTCAAAACCATAAGCTACCATACCAAGAATGATGGGTGCAGCCTTATCCCATGGCAAGTACTTTCCTCGTATTCTAACAATCAAGTTTTCATTTTTAACAATTGATGTGGCAGAAAGTTGAAGTTCTTCAGCAGATATGCAGTTCGTATCAAAGGCTTCTGCTGCTGCACCCAAACCCATACCAGTGTAAAGCAAGTTTCCACAGAGAGATACCTCTAACCCTGCAGACATGTAAGTTGTGATTGGAGAAAGTGAGAAACTGTTTTAAAAATCAATTACAACGATGAGTGCAAATTTATTATTTTAGCCAGATGTCCTGACTTACTTGTCCCTAAGCCTGTTCTCATAGCTTGGCTTGGCAATTCGGTATCAGGTTCAATGTCTTTGGCTTTATAGCTTCCATCTACAGAAGTAGGTGCTTCCTCGACACTTTGCATTCCTTTGGCTGCGACCTCTGTATCCATCTGCTTCTCTGGATCCTGTTCATTAATGACATCTTGAGAAGGCATGCTATCAGAATCCATGTGATCCGTATCAAATGCATCGTTTTCATGGACTGCAACTTCAACCGGTAACTCTGGCAAAGGCACATTGCTGGTGCATTCAGAATCTGAGGGAGATAATCCAGTATCATTTCTTGATTTTTGAAGATTCCCCTCTTCATTTTCATCAAATGTCTTAGAAGTTACAGGGGAATTTTCATGTGGATCTTCAGCAACCTCAGAAATATCGGATGAAGCCCTCATATTTTGCTGATCGCCATTTATAGACTGCACTGCCAATTTTGGGAGCTCCAAACAGCTTTTGAATACCTCGTCCCTCTTAAAACTACTTGACTTACTTTCTGAACTACAATCAAGGCAGAGATTTCTATCTTGATTAGCTTTGTCCTGATTTTCTTGCATTTGATGGAAATGCTCATCTCCTTCACCAGGCTCCAGCTCGTATTTGGAAGCCAGACTGCCATTGTTTACCTTGCATTCATTTCCAGGAGTAACTTTATATGTGGATGCGTCTTGATCACTCAAATAACCAACATCCCGTGAACATTCGCCTTTGTGATACTCTTCGCCTTCAGTCCCTTCATCTGGACTGACGTGAAGCTGAGGCGTGTTCTGTTGCACGTTTTCAGTATTCCTCTCAGATGATGAAATGGGTGCTGTCAATATGTGGCCATCTACACTTACCAGAACTACTTTAGAATTCAAATTCTCTGATTCTATCACATGCTCTACACTATCTAGATTGTCATATCCACTGGAATCATATTCCAATAATTCACTCGAACCCTCCTGAGATGATTGCTCATCTTGAAAATCGTAGAACATCCGCTCATTATCGGATTCAGTCCTTTTTAACCTGTCCATACCAAGAGTTACACGTTCATCTCGCACCTCTACCTCATCATTATCTAAATCCTCAGTCTCTTGTCTATGAAAACTATTGTTTGTTAAAGTATTGTCATTATAAGTGTGATCCATGCCATAACTCTCTGAGGTGCCTTCAAGATTATCAGAATCCTTCAAACCCTCATTCGTCTTGTCCTTGTCAAAGTTATCTTCCAGAACAAAATATGCTTCACCAGCACTATCAAGATACATATTAAAATCAGCTTCCACTCCATTAACTTCTATCCGGACAACCTTCTCCGACCATTTAAGAACCCCCTGAAATTTACCAAACCGAACATACCAAGGCGTGCTCCTGAAGGCTCCATCTTCCTGCTTAACCACGATTATGTCAACTGCCCCACCAAATGGATGAAATGGCGTGGCAAAAAAGCTGCCAACTTTGCCCACCATGTTCATTTTGCCTGATTACAAAGAATTTCCCCCAAAAATTCTAAAGAAACCAATTACTCTACAAACTGAGATGGCATTTGAGAATCAAATCAGTGGCCATCAATCAAACAATCTTGAAACATTAACTGAAATTTCTTTTCACCAAACCATTCCCAGAAAGAAGAATTGCATTCGAGATATCTGCATGCAACAAATAATAAAAACTAAATACACAATCATGCAAATCTTTCTCTGATTTATAACTTCAAATATCATTTTGGGTTAACTAAAAAAACTAAAGAACAACTCGCATCAAGAAATTATAAACTACAAGAACCCAGATAAAGATTGAAGCAATACGAATAAACTAAAATCAAAGATTCTTGAAAATGAAAGAAAAAAATGGGTCACACGCATAAAAACTCACGTATTCAAGAATTAACAAAAACTCCCAAATAATCTGGGTTTTCCAACAATTGATGATTGAATTGAAATGTATCACAGCTCAAGAAACCCAATATAATTGTCTACTCTTCCGCATCTAAGATCACGTCTCAACGAAGATTCCAAGAATTTATGCTTCTGAAATGTGTGTTTATTATTTTCTATCTCTAGGAAGTAGGTGATGGGCTGATGTTTTTCATTTTTCTCAAATATATAACAGCCTTTTAATTGAATTTTCTTCAATGGTTGTTGTGGTTGCATTTCGTTCGAATTAGGATTTTTTTGTTTTTCTTGCAAGACTTTGAATTTTGGATTAAAAGAAAAAAAATTCCAAAGTCTTAAATTCCTAATTTCTCAAGCAATAAATAGGTAATGCTTGTGAACAGAAGTGTTTTCGCTGGGGTAGTTGAACTTGTATGCCTTCAATTTTCTTCCAGTTTTCTTGCTTGTGAGGTTCGATTTAATTTATTGTAAAATTTGTCAATTATATTGTTTAATTTATTGTACTAAAATAAATTGATGGATTGAAACTTTTTTTTCGTCTACTTTTAATGGGGGTCAAAATGGATTGTAAGACATTGATCCACGACAATTTGACATGAATCCGTTCACGAGTCTTTACTTGTTAATCCTCCACAATAGGTATCGTGCTAAGCTGAATTGCTAAGTTCGATTATTTATAAAGATTTGTCCGAATTAGGGGTGACAAATGGATCTAGTCATTTGCGAACTTGACCCGTCTCAACTCAATCCATGAGCGGCTCGAGCTCATTTTAATACGCATAATGGGCAAAGTTGGGCACTCCGCTTGTGCTTAATTTCGAATTTTTAAATTTTATTTTACTAATTTTTTTTCGAAAAAACTAATTAGGTCATGGACTCGACTCATTCCACTAGCTGAGGGGTTGAACCGAACCTTCTTCATGGGCACCAGCCCAACTTGTGTGTCCTAGATCCGAGCCATACCGAGTCCAATTCTTATTTGGGACATTTGAAAGATGATTCGTACTAATTCAAATCATATTTTTACATAGATCGATCTAAACTTATGATAACTTGAACTACACATGAATGCAAGTGAATATTCAAGACTATCGTGACACCTCCAAACTTTAATTAGCGCAAGTAAAAATTTCCTTCTTTATTTTTTCGGCATTCAACCAATTTCAAACATGTCCAAATTAACTTTGTTTAGGAAATGTAACATTATTAATACCCCAAGAAAATTGAAATAAGATTAGTGGGATTAACTCTTACCTCGCACTAAACGTGTGACCATGAGTTGTCATTTTCCTAAGAATATTCAGCAAACGCATTTCACGTGCTCTAAAAAAAACTAATATTGTAATACACGGTTTTGTCATAATTTACAATTTCAAATACCAGAAATTCCTTTTATTTACTATAAAAAATAAAAATAAAAATGAGGAATAAATTTTATATTATACTCATGTTTGGTAAGGATTAAAATCAGATTTTTAGTAAATTTTGATAAAAATTGATGAATTGTGTGTTAAAAAGTTGTGGATCACATGAAATTGGTGGTTAAAATTAATTTTTGATTTTGACTCAAACTTAGGCATGTCCCCATTTTTGTGTGTAGAATGCATTTTGAAATAAGAGATTGATGAAGAATGTGTGGTTAAAAATGAAGAATTAATTTTTGAATTGCGTATAATATTAGTATATTGAAAAATGTGTGGTTGAAAAGAAGATAGAAAAACATATTTTGAAAAAAATAGGGATCAAACAAGGTTTTAGATTAAAATTTGATTTTTAAGCGCAACCAAATAGGAACATAGTAATTTTTGTAAGGTAAGGGAGTGTTTGATGCACATTTTTAGAAAAAAAAATACATTTTATAATGTGATGTGATGGAAAATATGCGGTTAAAAAATAAGGAAAAATTTTAAATTTGCATGTAATATTATTTTATTGAATAATATGTGGTTAAAAATGAATTTTGAGAAGAATGTGGATCAAACAGAACTTAAATGTGTCAATGTAATAATGAGATATGCGTCTATATAATTTTTTTTTTTTTAATAATGATTGACCTTTGAATAATGTTAGAGTCAAAATTCACCCACCGACTTTGGACTCGAAAATTAAAGCTAGGCTTTTAACAAAAAAACAATTAGTAGATTTTAGTGTGGACATTTTAATCAGAATCGAATATCTCGAATCATAATCGAAGGTTCTAGTACGATTCCAAGAAAAATTAGGAATCAAGAATTGAGAACTGATAGATTCCAGGTCCGCTCTTGATTTTTGAAGGTATCCAACTCGATAAGTGGAATTAGCTCTCATATTGAAGATGAGCCACTATAAATCTTTATATTTTTATTTGTACATCTACGTTTCTCGCCTCATTCAATATTGCTCTTGCAATTAGGGTTACGCCTTTATCCATTACAAGAACTGTGTCAGCCAGCCAGTCATTGGCAGGTTTATGTACCCTGATCCATACATTAAGGAGATTTGCAGATCAATATTTCCATGTATTGATCTCTTTCTAATAAAATTCTTATATCTCTATATATACTAGTTCAATCTTCCTGTAGGATTATCATATTACCTCTTTCAATGTCATACTGCTTAGTGACCTGAGCTTATTTACCAGTCAGGGAGCCAAGGATTTTTGCAATCGAAATCCACATTTGACCCAGTCTATGATGCCAAATATCCAGCTCAGTTTCATTCTAGAGACTTCTATGTAGTTAGATAGTTTGTTTGTTTGTTAGTTAGTTTTTTAGTCTATAAATAGAGCACCTTGTATTCGTTGTATTTCATTGGATTCTATTCCAATCTTCAACATAAAATCATCATGTTGAATCTATCATTTTCTTTATTCCAATCTTCAACATGAAATCATCATGTTGAATTTATCATTTTCTTCCCTGCAGTACAGCAGGTTTCAATTTGGTTTCCTTCCTTATTTTCAATATGGTATCAGAGCCGTTGGTTATCTCGAAGCTGTGCGAGAAGCTTGTGGATTCTCTATACGGCAGACGAATATTCCCACTATATTGCAGTCTATAGGCTTGTGCAAGAGTGCTTTGATTTATTTGATGAGACTTTACAGCATTACTGAATTAATAAAATGGACTGGAGCAACGTCACGACAGAGGATCTTTTACATAGATCGATCTAAACTTATAACAACTTGAACTACACATGAATGCAAGTGAATATTCAAGACTATCGTGACACCTCTAAACTTTAATTAGCGCAAGTAAAAATTTCCTTCTTTATTTTTTCGGCATTCAACCAATTTCAAACATGTCCAAATTAACTTTGTTTAGGAAATGTAACATTATTAATATCCCAAGAAAATTGAAATAAGATTAGTGGGATTAACTCTTACCTCGCACTAAACGTGTGACCATGAGTTGTCATTTTCCCAAGAATATTCAGCAAACGCATTTCACGTGCTCTAAAAAAAAACTAATATTGTAATACACGGTTTTGTCATAATTTACAATTTCAAATACTAGAAATTCCTTTTATTTACTATAAAAATAAAAATAAAAATGAGGAATAAATTTTATATTAAACTCATGTTTGGTAAGGATTAAAATCAGATTTTTAGTAAATTTTAATAAAAATTGATGAAATGTGTGGTTAAAAAGTTGTGGATCACATGAAATTGCTGGTTAAAATTAATTTTTGATTTTGACTTAAACTTAGGCATGTCCCCATTTTTGTGTGTAGAATGCATTTTGAAATAAGAGATTGATGAAGAATGTGTGGTTAAAAATGAAGAATTTTTTTTTGAGTTGCGTGTAATATTATTATATTGAAAAATGTGTGGTTGAAAAGAATACATTTTATAATGTGATGTGATGGAAAATATGCGATTAAAAAAAAGGAAAAATTTTAAATTTACGTGTAATATTATTTTATTGAATAATGTGTGGTTAAAAATGAATTTTGAGAAGAATGTGGATCAAACAGGGCTTAAATGTGTCAATGTAATAATGAGATATGCGTCTCTATAATTTTATTTTTTTTTGTAAATATGATTGACCTTTGAATAATGTTTGAGTCAAAATTCACCCACTGGACTCGAAAATTAAAGCTAGGCTTTTAACAAAAAAAAAAAAAAAAATTAGTAGATTTTAGTGTGGACATTTTAATCAGAATCGAATATCTCGAATCGTAATCGAAGGTTCTAGTACGATTCCAAGAAAAAAATTAATCAAGAATTGAGAATTGATAGAGTCCAGGTCCGCTCTTGATTTTTGAAGGTATCCAACTCGATAAGTGGAATTAGCTCTCATATTGAAGATGAACCACTATAAATCTTTATATTTTTATTTGTACATCTATGTTTCTCGCCTCATTCATTATTGCTCTTGCAATTAGGATTACGCCTTTATCCATTACAAGAACTGTGTCAGCCAGCCAGTCATTGGAAGGTTTATGTACCCTGATCCATACATTAAGGAGATTTGCAGATCAATATTTCCATGTATTGATCTCTCTCTAATAAAATTCTTATATCTCTATATATACTAGTTCCATCTTCCTATAGGATTATCATATTACGTCTTTCAATGTCATACTGCTTAGTGACCTGAGCTCATTTACCAGTCAGGGAGCCAAGGATTTTTGCAATCGAAATCCACATTTGACCCAGTCTATGATGCCAAATATCCAGCTCAGTTTCATTCCAAAGACTTCTATGTAGTTAGATAGTTTGTTTGTTAGTTTTTTAGTCTATAAATAGAGCACCTTGTATTCGTTGTATTTCATTGGATTCTATTCCAATCTTCAACATAAAATCATCATGTTGAATCTATCATTTTCTTTATTCCAATCTTCAACATGAAATCATCATGTTGAATTTATCATTTTCTTCCCTGCAGTACAGCAGGTTTCAATTTGGTTTCCTTCCTTATTTTCAATATGGTATCAGAGCCGTTGATTATCTCGAAGCTGTGCGAGAGGCTTGTGGATTCTCTATACGGCAGACGAATATTCCCACTGTATTGCAGTCTATAGGCTTGTGCCAGAGTGCTTTGATTTATTTGATGAGACTTCACAGCATTACTGAATTAATAAAATGGATACCTCGTTGCAGTGCTGTCTCCTAGTAATGGAGGCACTTAGCGAAGTGGATTGGTCATCCCCGCCTCGGCCTCTCTCTGAATTTTTCTCCCAATTCATTTTCCCTCCAAGCATACATTCTCAAGGGGAGAGTATATATCACTGAGTTTGATTGAAATTTGAGAGCCTTCTCTAGCCAGCATTTCATTTAGCTGATCGTTAAATGGGATGATGTCTTCAATTAACAAAAGCTGAAACTGCATCTTCTTCATTGCAGACTCGGTAGTCAAAGGATATTTGAGAATTTGGTAGTGGTCCAATTTGTTCCTTGGAGTAGCACTGATGCCTGGGTACTTCGGGTTTCTGTCCTTCTTCAATGTCTTCGGCATGTGGAATGTGACTTTGTGATGATCTTCTTTGATTTCTTCTTGATTGCCGAAGAATTTGCTTTCACAGCCTTTGCGGTCTTCAAGGCCTGAGCCCCTTACCTGAAGGAAGACAGATAATGAGAAATTCCTGCAGATGTAGTTTAGATTAATATTTTTCCTTTCCTTTTTTCGTGTCCCACACTTTAATCTTCAAGATGGACTATTTTTTATCTCCATAGTCCATCTTGAGGGGTGTGTGTTAGAATATCCGGCTCAGCTTCATTCTAGAGACTTCTATGTAGTTAGATAGTTTTTTAGTCTATAAATAGAGCACCTTGTGTTCGTTGTATTTCATTGGATTCTATTCCAATCTTCAACATAAAATCATCATGTTGAATCTATCATTTTCTTTCCAGCTGTAGTGTTACTTAGGTTTTGTTTAGTCAGTTTGTTAGTTAATTAGTCTATAAATAGAGGACCTTGTATACCTTTCAATTCATTGGATTCTATTCCAATTTTCAACATGAAATCATCATGTTGAATCTATTATTTTCTTCCCTGTAGTACAACAGGTTTCAATTTGGTTTCCTTCCTTATTTTCAATAGCCTCCATATTTCTAACTACCGCTCTGAGAGTTTCTGAAATCCTCATTCTGGTTCACAGATAGGAACATAATGGAGAAACCACCGCGTCGCAGTTATGATTGTTGGAGTTGTTGTTCAAAATCAATAAAAAGGGAGTTGGAATGATAATTGGAAAAGGAAGCCAAAACCTTGATCATGAAACCGCATTGATCAATAGGTATGCGGCCGCAAGTGAACGTGCAAGGATTTCAGCCCCCGCATATGATTCTTCTATGCGGTCGCATCGAAGAAATATATGACCGTTGAACTGCCATTCTTGTTTGAATTTTTGGTGGTTATTTGTGAAAAGTTGCAAACTTTTCATGATTTTTCATGATGGTTATCTATAAATAGATAACATGAGATCAATACAAATACGTTGAAAAACATTATTAAATCTAGTATTGAGATAAAATCATCATTCCAATACAAAGAATCAACATTCTTTTATCTATATCCAAATACCTCTTTGTGTTCTAAAAGTTTTGGTAGAAAAACATAGGTGCTTAAGTGTTTTTCTTACAAGGCTCGACCAATCCTACAAACTACTTGTCAAGAAACCCCTTAAGCACCAAATTTATCCGAGAGGGGGCAAATATCGTTTGAGGACAGCGATCTTCGTGTTTGAGCCTTTTAATTCTTCTATGAAGTTGTTGATAATTTATTTCTTGGTTTTGGTTCGTGGCTTTTGTCTCAAATCTTTTTGTGGAGAGTCAATTGAAGATGTTGATGATTATTTGTTCCGGATTTTCTCCAACCTCATTGAAGTGGAAGCGATTTCGTTGATGTTCTTGATCATTTGTTCATTGCTTTATTCTCTGATTCCTCAAGTGGAAGTCATCAAATTTCACAACAATGATTCTTTGATTACCGCTTGGACTTTGTTCCGTTATATGAACAGGTTATTCGTTCATTTGTTGGAATAGCAACTACCGAATTTTCGTCCTTGGTACACACATGATTCGTTTTTAGGCATAAACCTTGGTGGGGATGGGCACTCTCTTCTTACATATTTCAATTGGGGTGACTGCTTGTCTTGAAAGAATTTTTCTATGTTCCAGTCCAGTCCAGTATAATTTTATTTTATTTTATTTTATTTTTGGTTCCTCCTGACTCCGACCCTAGACGCTCTCTCTCTCCGTGTTGGTTTACACTGAAATGTTCAATTCCCTTAACGTCTTTTAGAGGACACGAGCTTGTTGGTGATGCCCCTTGGAGCAATCAATGGCTCCTTGTAGCCATGTCGATCTTATTTGGTTTCACTTCATGATTCTCTACGTTCCCTTTTTGGCTAACAAGTTTGGCGACATGCCTCTAGCTTCAATGAATGGGTTTTGGTATTGGCTGTTGCTTTCCCCCAAGTTTACAGGAAGGTGCTGTGGAACGACATGGTTGAAGCCCAAGTCAGATTGTAGACCTGTGACTGTAGGATTTGTACTTTTCTCTTAGAAAATCAATAATGCTAACACATGGGACTGGAGAATTATATGAAGTCTTAAGATATTTGTTCAGGAAGGGATTATTAGAATTTAAATATTGGCTCTCAAAACTGCTAACATTTTTATGTCCTGATGTCTTCTTATCTGCCTTTTATTGGCATTCTCACCCTGCAATTCCTAAGGTCCCCCTCTGTTGATTTATTTTATGTTTATCATAGTTTTGCATGGAAATTATTCAAAATGCGAAATTTCTCTGAAAAATTGAAGGTTGGATACTTAGCATATGTTTGGCATATAAATACTTGTCAAAAGTAAATTTTGTCCACATATTTCGTAATACCTACAGATAATAACCATTTGTCTATCACTTATTTCTATCTGTTTATAAAGTATAAACACACATGTTTATTAACACTCGAAAAACATATGCTTAGCCTCCGTTAGGAAAGAATTTATAAACGAATTGATTATAATAGATGAAAATGAGTGATGAATAAGTTGATACTATTGTGGGTCATTAAAATGGATAGTAAAAAATAAATCTTTACAATTTATAAATAATTTATAAATTTTGTTGAATGAAGGCTTAAATGTCAATATGAAGACCTGCATTGTTAAATAACAAAGCCTTGATAATAACTATACACTACAAGACAATTCAGATCATAAGAGAAAACATGTTTCACCAACGTGAAAGAACCACTCTTCTACAAAAGCTAGCGTATCTACAAATAGCATTCTCACCTTCACAAATTCACGAGTTATGACACATAACATACCAATAATAGTATCACCTTCACATATTCACGAGTCATGACCCGTAACATAGCATCAAAATTTTTCTTATAATTTCTTCAAACAACATATCTAGGGTTTAAGCCACATAGACATTATCTTAAGTCCTTGATCATATTCAAATCTATCCAAATGCAACCTTAAACAACGTTTCTAAGAATGTTGTACTTGTAAAGGGTTATTATTTTTTGTCAAAATTAATGTGCAATAACAACCACATACACTTGGGAATGGGTGGATCATGGCTTGGCTCACAAGTAATTCATTTCTTGTTCCACACTTAGAACCTGTCTGGTTCCAAATTTTCCCCCCAAAAAATCACTTTTTTGCCCCTTTTTTTCAACCTTTTGGGCCCCACTAAGAGAGAGTTCAGTCCAATGTTGCGGCTGCACAGTATTTTCAACGGCCAAAATTCTGATTAGGAGCACAAACAGACAGGGCCTTAATTACATTCCCCCTATTGTGTTCAGCAATGATGAAACCTTTCTATAGTTTGAATAATGGGTCCTCCTGTTTAGCCATTTTCACCCCCATTTTATCACCAAGGAACACCATGATCAATTATCAAACCTAGGATACTTCTAGCACCACAAATTGGCATGAAAACTCACAAAAATTGGCACTTAGAACCTGTCTGGTTCCGATTTTTCCCCCAAAAAATCGCTTTTTTGCCCCTTTTTTTCAACATTTTGGGCCCCACTAAGAGAGAGTTCAGTCCAATGTTGCGGCTGCACAGTATTTTCAACGGCCAAAATTCTGATTAGTAGCACAAACAGACAGGGCCTCAATTACATTTCCCCTATTGTGTTCAGCAATGATGAAACCTTTCTATAGTTTGAATAATGGGTCCTCCTGTTTAGCCATTTTCACCCCCATTTTATCACCAAGGAACACCATGATCAATTATCAAACCTAGGATACTCTCTCTCTCTCTCTCTCTCTCGAAAATAATGACGTGTTTTGATTATCGAACTAATACAACTAAACATGATTAAAGAAGAAAAATAAATTAAAATTTATATGTTTGTCCGGCTTAATGTACTGCCTAGGATAACCATAGGTGTCTTAATGATATAGTACATAATCATGATTAGTAGTTTCCTACTACAATGGTGATTTATCTTTTCTCTTTCTAATATGTTTTATCTTTTTATTTTTATTTCTT